TTGCCAATGAGTAAAGACAGGAAGGGCAAGTTCAAAATAGCAGGAACCACAGGCACTGCCTGAATCCTGCTTATTGAGGATTTTCTTCCTTTCTTCCTTTTTTAACGCTGAAGGTCTGGCGGAGGTTAGGTGAACGGTGGTTGTTTTCAAAAGTGTCCCTTGTCAGAAGGCAGGCCCTCCCATCTGTAGAAACAAAAGTGCGTCTCGAATTGTACTTACCCCTCGAAGTTCTGAAAGCACATTAGGGAAGAGTAACAACACATTCCACTTGGGCGGCAAAGTGCTAATTAAAAACGAACTTCAGTGCTCCCAGAGGTAGAATATTAGTGTTATTTTTAAAATGAAATTAAGCATCACAACCTTCTTCCTCTTTTCATTGTTATAAAAATATTTAGCAGCCGAGTCTGTTTGACAATGTAGGCCTCTCTTAAGGGTGTCGGTATTATCAGCACAGTCATAAAATATTTTCTGCGTTGTCCATAGACAGTTAAGGATCTGTTGCTAGTGGGACTTAAGATCTATTTTAGGATGCCTGCTGGCTACAAAATAATTACTGATACTTGCTAATGCCTGAATCTGTTGGATTTAGCAGCAAGAAGTTCTTTGTTTTCACAAGTAGGGGGAAGTTATTTTTCATATAGAAATTTCTTTGTTGGTGGTATTAGAGAGGATTAGGGTGGGGTTGAAGTACTTGAAAATGCAATTAATTTAATCCCTTTAACAGCAATTGTTTTCATATTGATAATTCTCTGTAACAACAGCATTACAGATCACAACCTTGTGAAATATTGACACTAAATATTTTAGCATAAAAAGTCTCTCCCCAGCTCTCTTTTTCTATAGAATGGTAACATTTTCAGCTTCTTTGGCCTTCTTTTCTTTCTCTCTCACCTAAAATGGGAGCTTTCTTCTCAGGGGGCCAGAATAATATATATTTTTTTAATCCTGCTAATTTTCTCTCAATGTCATTGTCTCTCAGTCATTATGTTAATGGCCAGCACATCATTAATCTCCTAAAAAGAGTGTGAGTAGGAAACAAGAACAGTTCTATTGATTTCTTTCTTGTCTTTTTTTTTTTTTGTATCTACAGTCATATGGTTTAGATTCTCATGTGAAATGATTTGTTTACCCATCAATTTCAATAAATTGTTATGCTGTTAGAATTACCACAAAGGTGAGAAAAGTAGATGAAGGATGAAATTGTCCTTCTGGTCAACCTCTGATCGTCTCCAGTGTAAACTGGGAATTGATCTGAATCTGCTCAAATGTCACGTTACCCAGGAGAGACTTCCCGTGACCTCCCAATATAAAATCGCCCTCAGAATCCCTCCTCACTGCCCTTCTTCCCTTCAATAGGCTGCCTCTTTCTCTGCAGCACAGAACATTATAAAACTTTATATATTTGTTTCCTTGGTGCATCTCCCCCCAACCCCCAACAAAGACGGACGCACTGCCAGAAGCAAGGACTCGGATGTGTTCACTGCTGTGTCTTGGGAGCCAAGACAAGGAAGGGCCTTGACGATAGTGATGTCATAGGCAACCAATAATTATCAAGTGTAGCAGGCACTTATCCAATGCATGAAGCTCTTCTCAGTTTTACTTGGTGCCTGAAGCAGCAGATCGGGGCAGGGCAGGGACCTTTCCTCCTTGTGCTGGCCGGCATCTCGATGGCTGACCACGGGATGGGAATGTGAGCATTTATCCTGAGCCCACGTCCAGCTCAGCCCCAGCGGAATGGCCCTGTGGGCAAAAGCAGAGACTGGGTGCTTCACCCGGGCAAGTCTTCATTGAAGGGCTAAAACTTTGGGTTGTGCGGTGCCTGTTTGGCATCCACATGTTTACCATTTTAAGAGCAGTTTAGCCTGGCCGGCGTGGGTCAGTGGTTGAGCGTGGACCTATGAACCAGGAGGTCACGGTTCAATTCCCATTCAGGGCACATGCCTGGGTTGTAGGCTCCATCCCCAGTGGGGGACATGCAAGAGGCAGCTGATCAATGATTCTCTCTCACCATTGATGTTTCTCTCTCTTCCTCTCCCTTCCTCTCTGAAAGTCATACAGAGCAGAGACTCTCCAAGGATGCTCTTCCGTGCACTAGCTCTGTGCTATAGAAATAGGGGTTACTAATACAAACGGGGTCCATGGTCTGATAAGCTTCTGAAACTAGGTATCGCAGGAAGCTAAGGAAAGTTTAACTTCATGTGTGAGCATGCTCATTAGAGCTCTTAAACGCAAGACTGTGGTAGGCCGTGTTTCCCAAACTCATTTGACCTTCGACCCTTCTTTTTGTACCAGCCACCCTCCTCCAAGGCTGGGTTGCCTCATAGGAAGTCCATTGACTTGGGAGTTGAACAAGCCGGCCGGGGCGGGGCAGGAGAAGGGGGGCCTGGCTCTGACCTTCCTGACCTTGCTCTGTGACCTCCGGCACTTTCCTCGACCCTCCCTGTGTCTCCGTTTCCTGTGGTGTGAGGTGGGGCTGAAAAGGAAGACCCAGGATAATGTAGGTGAAGTGTCTGACCCTGAAGTGCTCAATCACTGGTGATGATCGTCAACGCCTTTGATTGAATATAGGAGTGCGTGCTATTTAGACAGGCATGGTCACGGATATTGCCTAAGCCAGGCTTGCTAGCCTCGACCTGTTCCCAGAGCCACTCTGCCACTCCTCCTGCCCTGTCTCGGTGCCCTCTGCCCCTCCGAGAAGCTCTGGGCATCTCTACTGAAGTCAAGGAGATGCTGCGTGGGGCTCCCTCAGGGTGCCCTGTCGAGTCGCCATCCTGTGCCCCATCCCTTGACCTGGGGGGGGGGCGGGGAGCCGCCTGTGTCAGGAGGAGGGGCGGCATCCCCCCTGATGATGGTGCAGATGGCTGCGTGCTGCTGGATTTGGAAGGGACCCTATTTTTTTTTCAGTACATTTCAAAGGAAGGTGTGATCTGTGTAAATCTGACCCCTTCCAGTTAAGTGTGCATTTCCATCTATTTAGAATTTATAAATCCCGACAGATTCTGCCGTATTTATAGCCCTCCGTAAGAAGCCCGCGCCTGGTTCGCGGAGTTTTGCATTTGGCTCCCCGGTATGCTGAAGAGAGTTTAAATAATAATAAATTTGGTGATTTATTCCACCTGGAACAGAAACGTATTCTCCCCTCCTGGCTTGTTCCGAAGGGGACACTATAAATAGCGCCGCAGACGCAGGATCAGGAGTGGGGAATGGAAATGCGAGAGGGAAGTGCAGAAACATCTCCATTATCGCGGGTGCCCTGCCTGTATTTCTGAAACAGCTCTGTTCCCCCAATAACGCGCCTTCTCTTCTTTCTCCGGCCCCGTCTCAGTTACACGCAAGGCCCGCACCTGTTGCCCGCGTTGCGATCCGGTTGCATTAATGGGGGAGAGCGAGGGGCAGAGTCGCTGACGAGGTGGGAGAAGGTGGCCTCTGGGGCCCGAGCAGGTCTCCGATGCCCACCTCCCATTTCACAGGCGTCAGCGGAAACTGAGCATCCGCGTCTAAAGTGCAAATGCATCATCGGAGACCCAGCTCGTGCACCCGCAGGTCTGGCGTGACAGGCTCCCAGCTCAGGGAAAAGGGGGTAAAGAAAGTCTAATTGCAATTCCAACAGGAAGCCTCAGGCAGTGTCCCAGGTGGATTCTTGCTCCCACCTCTGCTTAGCATTCCCGGGTCAGGATCAGCCAGAAGTTCCTGCAGGCTGGGCTCCCAGTGACACCCCTTGTTTTCTTAAACACAATAGAAACGGAAACCGGGAAGCCAGTGACTGTCTGAGAAGCTCCAGGTGAGGCTGAGAGCAGCCCTTGGGGCAGCATAGACGGTGTCACCACCTGTGGCGGTGGGACGAGGGGCCCGCTGTTCAGCTTCTTGTTGGATGGGACTGTGAAGGAAGTAGCCTGCGTGAGGCAGAAAACAATGGTAGCGGTTCACGTCCACGGACAGCCTATGGTGGCCGGCTCAGAGCAAGTGGTCCCCTGGCTCTTTGCCACACCCTCCCAGTTAAGTACTGGCATTTCCTGGTCTGATTCCTCAGAGCACAGGCCCGCCCCCGTCTTCCTGAGCGATCCCCCTGGCCTCCGGCTAATGGGGTGGCAGATGTCTGGGCCAAGCCCCGGAGCCTGCAGCAGACCGCATCCTAATGATTTGCGGCCAGCAAAGTAAATGCTTTCATCGCGGGCTCTGCGGAGCGGGGACCCCGTTAAGGATGATGGATTGGAGGCCACGCGAATAGATGCCGAGTGTCCCACGGGGGTGTGGTTTCCCAATCAGGACGCAGGTATCTCGGTTCATTGCTCATCCCAAAGCTTTGCCTGGAATCTGGCTGTTTGAGGAACGGGACACTGGAGGCACGTCCTTGAGGCTCAGAGGAATTTCCTTGCTTTTCCTAAAACATCTCTGTGAGCGGCCGCGAGCCGGCAGACACGTTATGGGTCTAACCGTTTCCACATCCTAATGCCCTTGGAAAGAAACCAGGCAAGAAAATTAGCATACTGTTTTTTAAGCAATCAAATAGGAGACTCCAATTAGGGCAAATAAAAGTGATCACTGCAGCCCGGCTGGCATGGCTCAGTGGTTGAGTGTCAACCTAGGAACCAGGAGGTCACAGTTAGAGGTCACGGTTCGATTCCCGGTCAGGGCACCTGCCCAGGTTACAGCTTGATCCCCAGTGTGGGGCGTGCAGGAGGCAGCCGATCCATAATTCTCTCTCATCATTGATGTTTCTATCTCTCTCTCCCTCTCCTTTCTCTCTGAAATTAGTGAAAGTATATTTTTAAAAAATTATTACTGCAAACAGGTTTTTTTCTTCCTTTCTTCTTTTCTTCCTCCTTTTCTTTCTTCCTTTTCTTCTTCCTTCCTTTCCTCCTTCCTTCCTACCTTCCTTCCTTCCTTCCTTCCTTCCTTCCTTCCTTCCTTCCTCTCCTGGCCTGTTAGCAGCAGGATGGCAAGGCAAGACGTGTGCCCAGCCCATGTTTGACGCACCCTCTTGTGTTCCTCTTCCCCAGGGCAACCCCTACATGTGCAACAACGAGTGTGACGCGAGCACCCCCGAGCTGGCGCACCCCCCGGAGCTGATGTTCGACTTCGAGGGGAGACACCCCTCCACCTTCTGGCAGTCGGCCACCTGGAAGGACTACCCCAAGCCTCTCCAGGTGAACATCACCCTGTCCTGGAGCAAGACCATCGAGCTCACGGACAACATAGTCATCACCTTCGAGTCGGGGCGCCCGGACCAGATGATCCTGGAGAAGTCCCTGGATTACGGGCGCACTTGGCAGCCCTACCAGTACTACGCCACGGACTGCCTGGACGCCTTCCACATGGACCCCAAGTCCGTGAAGGACTTGTCCCAGCACACGGTCCTGGAGATCATCTGCACCGAAGAGTACTCCACGGGCTACATGACCAACAGCAAAATCATCCACTTTGAAATCAAAGACAGGTTCGCCTTCTTCGCCGGGCCCTGGCTGCGCAACATGGCCTCCCTCTACGGCCAGCTGGACACGACCAAGAAGCTCCGCGATTTCTTCACGGTCACGGACCTGAGGATCCGGCTGCTGAGACCGGCCGTCGGGGAGATTTTCGTGGACGAGCTGCACTTGGCGCGCTACTTCTACGCCATCTCGGACATCAAGGTCCACGGCAGGTAAGCGCGCGTCTCTCCCTCGTGAGTGAGGACAAGTGCGTTCATAGGAAATGCGGAGGGGGGGAGGGGGGCGTGTTCTTGCAGCTGGAGAATGCTTATCAGTTTCTACTGCAGCAGATTCTCAGCCTAAAGATAGGTCCTGAGGCACCTGAGGCCCTCCTCACTGAGCAGTGATTGGTGAGCCCAGAATTGCTGTCCTCAGGGCTGAACCTGGCAGGATTGCGTAGAATTTAAGCAAAAGGGGGGATGCGCGTCTTAGAAAAGGGACTGGAAAACAAGCAATGCATCTTCCTGTTGTTTCCAAATGCCAGAGAGGGCCTGCACCATGGGAGGCTTCTCTGTGGTTTTGTTTTGTCACGCAAAAATCTCCGAAACGGAAGCTGAGTTTCTTGAAATGGGTTAAATCAGAGCCACATGCAT